ACTCACAGAGATCCGCCTGCCTCTGCCTCCCGAGTGCTGGGATTAAAGGCGTGCGCCACCACCGCCCGGCCCTTCTGTCTTTTTTTTGTGGTGTGTGTGTGTGTGTGTGTGTGTGTGTGTGTGTGTGTGTGTGTCCTGTTTTGAGTATCTGCCCTGCTATTTGTTTGTTTCCTGTGACTTCTTGTGTGTATTTACCCTTTCTTTCAGTTGAAGTATTCCTCTTAGTATCTTTTATAGAGCTTGCTTAGTAGTCAAAACTTGCTTTAATCTGACTTTAACATGAGAAGTTTTTATTTTTCCTTCTATTTCCAACTAGAACAATGAAAATTCAGGCCTTTCATACTATCAATAAAGTGGCCATTCCATTTTTAGGCAGAATTTTTATTAACAATAAAAAGAAATATATTGTGTGTGCCTTTCATTTAAACCACACATTTTCAAGCAGCATTTATAGCTTGATTTGTCGAATAGGCATTTCTATCAGTCAGATTGATAAACTCTTTGAAAGTCTTTTACTATTTGACACATGTCTCCTCTTGGAAGAAGTTAGCTTTCAGAATGAATACCCTGGAGAGTTTACTCTCAATTGTCTTAGTGGGGAGGGACATGAAACAAAATACCAAAGAGAGAAAGCTTTTAAAACCATTCGTGAGACCACTAGGAACATCTGTGGAAACAGTGACCTGCTCACTTAATGGGATATACCAGCTGGAGCAATCATGTTTGGGAACAAACACAGTTCTTTCAGAGGCAGCTGAGGCAGGACGCATCCCATCTGCTCCACCTGCCCTGTCCCTTCTATCCCTTGCCTTTCCTCTGCTGCCTGAATCGATCCTTTAAGCTCTTACTGACTTTGAGGTCCTTCATCCTGGGTATTTTCAGAACATTCCTGACATTCAGCTTCATTCGGCAACAAAGGAGTTCCTTGGAGGCTCAGTTTCATAGTTAGTAAAATAGATAATAGTCTGTTGCTTCATATGGTCTCTGCATGGGTTAGGGAGAAGGTAGGCATATAGTCCTACCTGCAGCTGAGTATCTATTGGCATTTGATAGAGATAGTTTTCTTTACTGGTGTGACCCCTGCTAGATCAACCACATTCTAGGGCAACCTCCACACCCAACACAAATTGGGCAACACAATTTTGATTACATGGTGTAAAAGAAAGAGAGATCTCTAAGTTGAATGAGTAGGAAGGTGGGGATGGATCCAGAAAGATGTGGGGAAGGGGTGAATGTGATTTAAAAAAATACATTGTATGAAATTCCCAAAGAATACATAAAAATATTACTTAAAAAATCTGTCTACTTCAAAGAGTAATTATAAAGATCAAATTGTGTCTATGCTAAAGTACTTTGTTAATTGTAAAGTGCTACAGAAATGTTACAAGCTATAAATCACTAGCCAGTAATTTATCCTTTCTTTGTATTATTTGAGCTTCTGCCTGGATAATTCTTTGTCAAATAGCAAATATAAAGTGTTGGTGGTTTTTTGCTTGCCTTATGAGGCTCCTTTGCAACTTTATGGTGTAAGCTAAATCTTTAAGTGCTCCTTTTCTTCTTATCTCTTCCCTGAACACCCATGCAAGATATAATCTGTAAAACACAGGGGCAATTACTCCTTTTAATTGTAAAGAGTTCGTCATTTGCTAAATTCTCAATGCATTCACTTAGGCCCTTGCCTTAAAACACCTTTCCATTAATCCCACAGAGCAGAAACTGTGTGAAGCTGGGCCCTCCTGCTGAAGGAGAAGTCATCCAAGTTAAGTGGCCTGATGGTAAACTCTATGGGGCGAAGTATCTTGGATCAAATGTTGCCTACATGTATCAGGTGGGTGCTACTCTCTGTGATGCTTGGTGAGATGGACAGGAGATACCATGTAGACGAATTTCTAAATGGTCATTAAATAAAAACATGGAGCCAGATATAGGGGTGAAAGCCTGAAAGAGATCAGGGAAATAGGGAAAGTCACAGCTAACCTTACCTCACCAACTCTGCTGCTTTCAAATGCGAGTTACTTCCTGTCTACCCACGCCTATATGCCTTGCTGTTCTGCCATCTGATTTGTTCTCTGTCCAGCTACAATCATTCCCTTTTCCTGCCCAGCTCTGTCACTTCCTGTCTGTTTGTACAGACCTACAGACCTCCATGGTTAACTAGTATTGGAATTTAAGGCATATGCCACCACACTTGGCTGTTTCCAGTGTGGCCTTGAACTCATAGAGATCCAGACAGATCTCTGCCTGCTAAGTGATAGGATAGGCATGTACTACCGTTACCTGACTTCTTTGTTTACCTATAATGGCTTGGTTTTTTTCTCTGATCTCCAGGAAAGCTTTATTTATTAAAGCACAAATAAAATATCACCACATTTCAGCACAAATAAAATATCACCACAATACCAGAAGGACATAACATGAGTGCACTCTGGATCAAAAAGCTACACGAAGTTTTGGTCCCTTTTATTTTATGAAAGTGAAAACTTCAATTTCTAGCAGCCAGGTTTCAATTTAGAGTTTAGTTGCCAGGTTGGACACTGAGAAACCCTAACATTTGTTATGGTTCAATTACTTGATAATAGACTGTTTTCTTGTGTTTTCATTGTGAGACTTGGTTTACCTCACTTTAAGCCAGAACATGGAGCTTAGGGTGTTATAGCTCAGTGGTAAAGTACAAGATACAACATTCATTTGCCAAGTTGATACAGTATTATATATTACATCATATTACTTTGTGTTAGCTCTGATGTCCAACTAGCACCCCATGACTTGATTTCCTTGGGTAGAGAAACCTAACTTGGGCACCTCATATAAACTGAAAGCGGTGCACTGTTGGCACAGATGTTCCAAGGAAAACAGGAATTATTCTATCCCTACCAAAAGTAAAAATGAGTTAAACTCACAGAGAAGCAACATGGGTAGCACATGTGCGTTCATATTCTTCAGGGAACTTTAAAACTGAACTTTTTTTTTTTTTTTTTTTTTTTAAGAAGCAACAGATTTCAAAAAACAGAAAAAGAAAAAAGAATATACATATGAGGTGGATCATTAATATTAAATTAACATTCACAAATCAACATTCTAGTCTAAATGGTATAGTAAAAATAGGGGGAAAGATAACAAAAACAATAACAAACCCCAGAAGATTCAAATTGATAAGTTGAAAAGCAGCTTAAGACTAAAAGACACTAGTTTAAGTAAAGAAGACAGTGAACAAACTGATAAGGGGCGAGGGCTTAAATAAAGGAGTACAATGCAAGACCACGACAATATAAGGATACCAGGAATTAGAGCACAATGAAATTAAAAGGTGCTCAAAGAAGTGTAGGAAACAAAAGAACATTTTTTTTCATTGTCTAGGAGTTGGTGTCCTGGCTAGTTTTTGTCAAGTTGACAAGAGCTAGACTTATCTGGGAAGAGGATCCTCAATTGAGAAAGTGCTTCTATAAGAATGGCCTGCAGACAAGGCTATGGCACATTTTCTTATTTAGTGATTGATGTGTGAGGGAGGACCTAACCCATTGTGGGTGTGCTGATCGTGGACAGATAATATAAGAAATCAGGCTGAAGAAGCCAGCCAGCAGTGACCCTCCAATCCTCCATGGTCTCAGTTTCAGTTCCTGCCTCAAGGTTCCTGCCCTGACTTCCTTCAGTATTGGACTGTGGTGTGGAAATGAAATAAAACCTCTCCTCCCCAAGGTGTTTGACTACTGTGTTTTTATCTTAGCAAAGAAACCTAAAGCAGTTAGCAAGTGGAGGACTAGTGCAGAAAATTGTCATTTTCTATCCGTCTACATATGTATTTTAGGTTGATATATGATGGCATAAAAGTGTATTAGACTGTGCACAATTAAGTAAACCTCACAAGAGGGCTGAATAATACAAAGATTCCTAGGGAAAAGCATTACTATGTCATCAAAACAAAATGTCACATTTAATAAGAGCAATAGGGAAGCTATGAAACAAAGCAGGTTGCTGCATAAAAGTATCACATTAGGAATCAGTGTGTTAGCCCAGTAACATAAAACTATGGACATATGTATAGACTCAATGAAAGTTTAAGCTGGTATTAAAATTGTCTCTCTAAGTACAAGTAGCATAAAATTCCTCATTAAGCCAAATGGACCTTTTTGTGCTTTCTGTCTTTCACCATCGAATAAACAAGACATTCATTAAAATATATAGAAACAAATGCCTAGAACACAGTGCAAAATATGCTAAATCTGTATGCTTATGTGTGTATGTGTCTGAATGTGTCTTTATATGTGTATATTTGTAGGTGTTTGTATGTGTCTGTGTGTATGTGTCTGTGTGTCTCTATGTATGTCTGTGTGTGCCTATGTATATTTGTGTATGTGTATGTATGTGTGTGTCTCTGTGTGTGCCTGTGCATATTTGTGTCTGTGTATCTTTGTATGTGTGTATGTGTTTCCTTGTACAGTAGTCCTGTAAAATAGATTTTATTGATTCCCAATCTATAAATGAAGGGAGGTAAAGGCTTGGGGAACAAATTTTAATTATTTTTAAGGAAATAATATATTTTATAAGAGCATACAGCTGGTAAAAAGAAGAATCAGAAATTACTCTCATCTCCATCCTAATGAGAGAAAACAGGTGTTCATACTTGCAGTAAAGTTTTGCCTCTGGATACCTGAGACCTGAACAAATTAGGACAGTCAACTACACTATCTACATTGTTTTAGTAAAACTGTCTTTTTCACTTAGAATTTTAAAATTATTTAAAACAAAAAAAAGTAATCACAGGTATTTATAGCTATGCTCCCAAATGTGTAAATGAGAAGATACTTTTCTTAATTTAATCCTAAGGGAGCCATTTGTAAATAGAACAAGGCTGGGAAGTACCTTGTTTGCATTCTCAGCCTTCCATGCAGTGGCAGCAAAGTTGTTTTGTGACCACAGCCTGACTCCACCCAATTGTACAGCTTCATCTTATGTTAGTGGTACAAGGGTATGAATCTATCACTTAAAATGAAAACAAAAACATGTTTAATTGGTGTTTCCATCTCTATTTTGTTTATAGCATAGGACCACTGCAGAATTTGACTCATCTTTTGACTTTTGAAGCCCCACTATATTTTATTAAAAATGAAAAATACAGAAAATCAGAAATGTAGGTTCTAAATTCTAAGGTATTTAAGAGTTGCAATATATAAATGTCTACTTATCCCATAAATTGTGCTTTCTTTGACAAAAACTGTTGTTGGAATACAGCTGAGCCTAATAGTAATCCAGGCTTTACCTCAGCCAGCATCATGGACTTATCACGGACTTTTCTCTAAGTGTCCTAAGTTCTTAAAAAAATAAATAAATAAAAATAAAAATTACAGAATAAAGAGCTGTAAACATTTTTTTCTTTTAAAAGATACTGTGTTTTCATATACTGGTGAGGTTTACATGATACACAGTAAGGCCTATTTGAATTTGGAAAAATAATAAGTTATGAAAACTTTTTAAAGTGGATTGGAAAGCTAGCTGAGGCTAAGTTGGCCATGGAAACCGTGGCTCTGATTCTCTGCCAATACCCTGGAATGACTAGCCTGAAGGATGTATAGAAATCATCGTCACTGCCACTGCCTGCATGAGCAACCACTAGAGGACACAAGAAGTCAGTAAACCTGGCCCATTCTCCCCTGCAGATGCAAATATTCTCAGACGGAAACTCTACAAGATAAAAGTTAAATCAGCTGGGATTTGGCAGGAACACACAGTAGCAAATTGCCCTAATGCTTCTGTTTCAGAGCCTTATTGGATATAAATAAAATACATAGTTGTCTTTTACTGCTTGGGATTGTTAAACATTCATTCTTTTTTCCTGTTAACTATAGTCAGGTTTCTAAGCTGAAAAAAAACACAGCTCACCATGAAGACTTACATGAAACAGAAAGAGTGAAAGAAAAGGAAAGTAAAGACTAGAGGAAACATCCATTCCAGCAGATGCACAAAAGGCAACATCAGAATTAGCCAATATGACATCTCACAAGTTTACAACACAACATTAAAAACCATAGGTAATGGAATAGTTGAAATGCTAGAAAAGATTTCAAGGTCCTACTTTTCGGTTTTTCAAGACAGGGTTTCTCTGTGTAACAGCTCTGGCTGTCCTGGAACTCGCTTTATAGACCAGGCTGGCCTCAAACTCAGAGAGATCTGCCTGCCTCTCCCTCCTGAGTGCTGGGATGGTATGTGCTACCACCATCCAGTTCAGGGTCCTACTTTTAAAAAGGGTCAGTGACCAAATAGAGAACTTTAAAGAAAACCAATTCAGGACCTAGATAAGAAACTCAAAGTGAAAAAAAGGTCAGCAATTGGGAAGAAAAGTTGAAGGGAAAAAAGTCAAACAAATGCAAGAAATGAAGGAGTCAATCAAATATAAAATACAATGGACGTGATCAACACACAAAACCAAGCAAAAGAATGACTACCAGGAATAAATGACAAAGTTGAGACTATGAGTTTCAGGCCTGTAACAAGAAAAAGAAAAGAACATTATCCTGACATCCAAGAACTCTGGCATAAGTTCAGAGGGCCAAACTTAAGAATCTCTAGAGTAGAAGAAGGAACTGAGATAAAAATTGGGCATGCACAGTCTTTGAATCATAGCAGCTAATTTACTAAAACTAGAGAAATGCCCATCCATTTAGAACTCCCAGAACACATAACCAGAGAGATCCTCATGATATACCATAGTTAAGATGTCAAACATACAAAACTTTAAACAAATACTTAAAAACTACAGAGATAGGGAAGAACATTATATACTCATCACAGGAAAAATCCACCAAGAGAATATTACAATTCTAAATATGTATATACCAAACCAAGAGTATCCAAGTTCCTAAAAGAAATAGCATATAGCTAAATTCACATATGAATCCTAACACAATGATAATGGATGACTTCAGTATCCCACTCTCATGAATAGATAGGTCATCCAGCCCCCCCCCCCCCAAAAAAAAAAAGAGTAGGTAAATGGACGAAGCCAAAAACAATCATCTCAGATTTTGAGTAAGGTGACCCAGATCCCAAAAGATAAATATAGCATGTTTTCTCTTACATGTGGATGTTAGCTTTTCAACTTTTGGTATGTGTGTTTCATTCTGATAACTAGGTTCCTAATAAGGATCTGGGGGGAGGAGAGGATCTTTCAAGGAATAAGAAATAGAATATATGCTCTAAAGAGATAAGGGGTAAATATAATAAGAGGAGCAAATAGGTTATGGAGGGCAGGGTAAAGGAAGGATTGTGGGGAGGGACTACTAACATTAAAGGCCTTTTTTAAAGCTATATGGAAATCTAGTATAGGTGTGTGTATACTAGATTTCACACTACCAGAGAAAAATAATCATAAATATCATCCAGGTACAAACCCTGTGACTTAGAACAGCAACATCCTGCCTGCAAGATATTCTGATGCAACAATGACACAAATGTTCTGGGAGTAACTGACCGCTTTTCACCTGACACTGCTAAAGTGGCTAAAATTCTGAGACTAGATAGGTCATGGACCTAGGGGAAAACCTGCTACTACTATCCTACTAAAGACACGTAGCAATAAAATGACCCCTGTTGACATATCACTATACCCATCAAGCAAAGCCTCACTAATCGTTATCAGAGTAGCTTCTTGCTGTAGATGACAATAAACACAGAGACCCACAACAGGACAATGTGTAGAGAGCGAGCGACTTTGGAGTACTCAGGGAGAGTAGTGTCTCTACAGTGAGGAAGAAATGATGCTTTTTGTTCTTGTACAATAATCTTCCCAGATAAATAATAACTTCAAGTTCTCATAGAGCATCAGCTCTTAACTTTCTGTTTTAAAATTACTTTTTAAAGTTAGTATGCAATGTAATGGATTTTATTATGCCATTTTATGGAAATATGCCAATACACTGTGTTTTTATCCCGCCCCCTCCTGTCTTCTGCTTTTTTGTCCCTTTCATCCCTCCAAAGAACCCTCTTTTGGTGTTATGCCTTATGTGTTCCATTGCCCTTTCTCCTCTGTTCCCCCATTCCTTTAAGATATCCTGTTTATCTCTCATGGTTCCCTTTCAATTTTTACCAGACAATGCACACCAGACATAAATAAATTTAAATCTAGGATATGCAGTATTTGTCTTCTTGAGTGAGAGTTTCTTTGTTTAAGACAATAATGTCCAGTTTCACCCATTCTCCTAGAAATGTCATAATTTTATTGTATTTATAATGAATAAATCCCTTCTTATGTATTTACATTTTCTTTGTTTGCTGATGGATATCTAGAGTGGTTCTATTTCTTCAGTATTTTGAATGGTACACAAATAACATCGATGTGCAAGTATCTCTGTGGTATGTTAACTTAGTCCTGCAGAGATGCACCCAGGAACGGTGTGCATACAGGAATGGCAGTTGTGCTTTTAGTTTTGTAAGGAGCATCTGTACTGATTCCCACACTGGCTATTCCAGTTGAGAGTTCTACCAACAGTGGATAAGGGTCTTCCTTTCCCCACATCCTCACCAGCATTTGTTGTTTGTGGTTTGCTTGATAATAACCATTCTGAGTAGAAAAGAATCTCAGAGCAGTTTTCATTTGCATTTTCTTGATATCTGGAAATATTCAGGTATTTATTGAACATTTATATTGGTCTGAGGCTAGCCTGGTCACTTCACTAGCCCATTTACTGACTAGAGGATTTGGGGGTGGTTTTTTCATTTGCTTTGGGTTTCATTTGTTTGTTTTGTTGTTTAATTTTTGTAGTTCTTTGTTTATTCTGGATGTTAAATTTCCATGTGTTACTCAGTTCTCAAAAACTTTTTTCTCATTTTTGTATGCCATTATCTTTCTGGTGGTAATTTCTCTTAAAAAAGATATGGCACTGACCAAACACACCCCGTCTTAAGGCTAAGTTTGCTACTTTTCTGAGAAATCATCTGATCAGCCCAGTTTTTGTTGTTGTTGTTGTTGATGTTGTTTGGTTGACTGGTTGGTTTGGGGGGGTCGGGTAAAGATTCCATAGCTCATATTTCAAGTCTGTCCTGTTCAACAGTCTTGACTGTTTCTCAGCCAGCTTTGTTCTTAGTTCGATAAGAAAAAATGCTCTTCTAACAACCCTGATTTTGGCTGGTTCTGTATTTGCTCTTTTACAGTCCTTTACTCTGTTTGTTTGCTTGATTTTTTTTTTGCATAGTTAATTGGAACTCTTGAGAAATAGTCAATACTCTTTCGGTTTTACTACATACCACAATGCCTTATGTTTCTTTAGGTTGAATTTGAAGATGGATCCCAGATAGCAATGAAGAGAGAAGACATATACACTTTAGATGAAGAGTTACCCAAGAGGGTAAAGGCTCGCTTTGTAAGTGCAAATGACAAGTGCTACTTAGGGACCCACCTCAGTGAAGTTCTCATTCTCCCTATGCTTTCCCAGTTCTAAAAGAAAACAACCCTGGGCTTTTGGTTAATTTTGAAGAAAGCCAAAGTAACTTTTCCCTTGTTGTAACTCAATTTGGACAGAAAGAGGAAAACCAGTGTGCTTACTTTTCTTCTGATGAGATCAAAAGACAGTTCTTCGTGTTAAATTTTACTGACATACCATAATGGTTATTAAACTTGTCCTTTGTACAAAGCTCTGGGGACAAATAAATATAAAATTAAGATATTCACTCTTGTTAGTGGAAGCTACATTAAAAGTATTTGACAGTAGATTAAAGAGAGTCAGCGTTAGAAAATGGTCTCTGGTAACCTTATCATGTATTACTGAAGTTCTGTGTCACACACTGATGTTTGTGTCTAAGCTCTTACAACATAGCAAAGCCAGAATAATTGTAGTGGGAATACTAAAAGAGGTATAACAAATACATATATGTATGTGTGTGTATAAATATATATTTCAAGTCCAGTGCATACCACTAAATAATGACATCTATTTTCCTCATTTAGAATCTTATCTGTTGCCTCTCTGAAAAGATAAGTTGTAAAAAGAGTAGTCTTTTGAATAAACTTAACTCTCTTTCATACATTCTTATGATTATGTCCTCTTACAGTGACAGAGTTATGAGAGATTATTTAGTTATTTTGGAAGCCAAGGGCTTATTTAAGTGGCACATTGAGTATTCAGTTCTTCTTTTGTGGGTGAGATCCTGATGGCAGAGGAGGCACAGCAGTGTGTACAGTTCCCTCAGCTGCACCTCCAGAGGAAGGACCTCAAAGTAAAAGTGAAGAGAAGAGAGAGCATCAGCACTGCTGTTCACCTAATGGGGTGGGAGGTACACAGGAGACCTGCCTACAGTCTGAGAACATCTTAATTTAAAAACAATGAACAGATTAGCCACCAGATAATAACTGTGAGCAAAGAGAAAATTAAGTGCACCTCTTGTAGAGACTAAGTCTCCTAAAGCCAGAATAACTTATCAGTGTTTTAAAATCCTGGAACCTGGAGCTAGAGGATGGTTTTGCAGAGGACCTGGGTGTGGTTTCCTGCACCACACCCACATGGCATCTTATAACTATGGGTAACCCCAGTTCCAGAGTATCCAACACCATCTTCTGTCCTCTACAGGCATTGTACACATGTGCAGGCAAAACACTCATACACCCAAAATAAAAACAAGTCTTTCTTAAAAGACACTGAAGTCTCTCAAGAAAACCTGAAAATGTTTTTTTGTTTGTTTGTTTTTTAAGAAAATTTTTATTCATTTTACATACCAACCACAGATCCCCCCAACTCATTCCTTCCTGCCTCCCAGCCTTCTCCCCCTCAACCCACCATTCATTCCCTACTATGAAAAGGTAAAGCCTCCCCTGGGGAAGCCAGCAAAGCCTGGTGCATTCAGTTGAGGCAGGTCCAAGCCCCTCCCCCTGCTGTGCATGGTGCCTCACCATAGGTAGTGGGCTCCAAAAAGCCAGCTCATGTACCAAGGATAGAGCCTGATCCCACTGCCAGGAGCCGAAACCAAGCTACAAAACTGTCTTGTTTGTGCAGAGGGCCTAGTCCAGTCCCATGGAGGCTCCACAGCTGTTGGTTAAAAGTTCATGAGTTCCCACTAGATTGGAAAACCTGAAAATGTTAGAGATGACCACCCCTCAGTCTATAGCCGCATCTTCCCTGAAAATGTTAGAGATGACCACCCCTCAGTCTGTAGCCACATCTTCTCTTGGCCTTCCTTTCCTCCTCCCTGTTTTGTTTTGTTTTTAACTTTTATTAGCCCATGAAGATTTGGGTAGGAAAAGAGTAGGAAACCTTCTGAAAGTCTTTTGGTTTTCTGATGTATGTGTAGCTACTGTGCCCACTGCTAAATTGATTCTTAGAGTTTTCACATTTATGTTTCTTAAGAATTCACTTTCTCCTCTAGATACAGATAATCTCTTTATTCCATGGTAGATATGGTCTTGATTCCATGATGCCTTCTTTGGTATTTTTATTTGAACAAGGCTCCTAGATGTCATTTTGTATAGTGGGTTCTCAGAGAATACTTTTTTTAAAAAAACCTGGGTTGTTTTGTTTTGTTTTGTTTTGTTCTAGTTTTGAAACATGTCCATATGTAAGCTAGGCTAGCCTTTAACTCACTGTGAAGTCAAAGATATCTTTGAATTCCTGGTCCTCCTCATGCACCCTCCCATGTGCTGGGATTATTAACATGTGTCACATGTCTGATTTCTCTAAGAACACTTTAACTTAAAATGCACTGAATTCAATCCAGTATGCCCAGCAGCTGAGCCTAGTAGGAAATACTTCAGAAGCTGCAGCCCTGGCCTCTTCTTTTGTTACTCGGTCAAAGACTGCTATACCTTTCAGTCAGTAACCTGCCTTTCCTTCAGGTGGTTGTCTAGCTCACTGGTTATTAGGTTGTCTCTCTAGGGCTGATATACTTTTCCAGCTGGGGAGACACATCTAATTGGAAAGTTCATTGATAGAAGATATTTTATGGTTAGAGAATTATTTTGGTTTGAGGAAGATTGATAAGTGTAGCAGGAATCTTAAAAGGTCTTATTAATAAAAACAAACCCAAGGCCAGTTATTGGGGTGAATGCTGGAAGATCAGAGAAGTACAACAAGCCACAACAGCTACCTCACCTTGCCAGTTCCTCAGCTGATCCTGTTTCCTCAGACTGGAAGCTTCTGAGTACTCATCCAAATGGATCTCAGCTGAACTGCTGCTCAAAAAAAAAGCCTTTCGGTTTAACCAGCCAAAAGCTTCTAGTTTCTGGTCTTCATGCCTTATGTACCTTTTTGCTTTCTGCCATCACTTTCTGGGATTAAAGGCTCACTTTCCAGGATTAAAGGCGTGAGTCACCATGCCTGACTGTTTCCAATGATCCTATGGAATGCTAGGATTAAAGGCATGAGTGCCACCATTTTCTAGCCTCTGTATCTAGTGACTGTTTTGTTCTCTGTCCCCAGATAAGTTTATTAGGGTGCACAATATTTTGGTGAACACAATACCACCACATTATCATTGGGAGTTCACTTTTTAGTGACTTTGCCTTCCTTAGATTCTTCTGACTTGGGGAGAAATGTTTTAGGAGAGTCAGCCAGCCACCTAATGACTGGTGCTGGGTTCATTTGTACTGTCTTCAGAAACAGCCCATTACCTTTTATTGTCTCATAGAGTAACCATGGTAACCATTGCATAGTTAACTAGAGCTCCTGGTAAATTGACTTTACTGTTGTGTTTAAGAGGCTGACTTCTGCTGTTTCTGCACAGTGGCAATACTTTCATAGATGTTTTATTTCCTCTTTTGATAACATTAGCACTTATAAAAGTGAAATGTAAGTCAGAGGAAGTGCTTTCCAAGAATTACTGAAACAGTGTTTTCTCCAAATGACAGAGAGAACCAACCAAGTCACAACTTCTGAGTTTCCTTCGCAAAAGAAATATGACACTTTCTAGGGAACCCATAGAATAGCCTGGCAATCTGCATATCTGCCTCATGAGCTGGTAGGCAGAAAATATACACAGATGCCAACTTGAACCAGTTCCAATTTCCAGGCTTCCTTATTTCTGCTCTCATTTTTTTTTCTTCATTGTTTTTCACAATGGAACATGTGTTTTCAACTCCTAAGAGTCTATTTTGTTACCAACCTGAAATATACTGTGTGTGCTATCATTAGAAGTCATACACCTCACTTAAACCAGTGGAGAATATAAATGAAAGTTTTCCTGTGTCCCACCAAGTCCATAGCCAGTTAGACCCAAGTAAATACACACAGAAGCTTATATTAATTAAAACTGGCCATTCGCTCAGGCTAACTACTGACTAGCTCTTACACTTAAACTTAGCCCATTTCTGTTAATATATATGTCTCTATGTATTCCATGGCTTTACCTGTGTGCCATTACATGCTGCTCCCTGGACGGTGGACTGGTGTCTCCTGACTCAGCCTTCCTCTTCCCAGAATTCTCCTTGTCTGCTTATCCCACCTATACTTCCTGCCTGGCTACTGGCCAATCAGCGTTTTATTAAACCAGTGTAAAAAAGCATTATTCAGCCGGGCGGTGGTGGTGCACACCTTTAATCCCAGCACTTGGGAGGCAGAGCCAGGTGGATCTCTGTGAGTTCGAGGCCAGCCTGGACTACCAAGTGAGTCCCAGGAAAGGCACAAAGCTACACAGAGAAACCCTGTCTCAAAAAAACCAAAAAAAAAAAAAAAGCATTATTCCACAGCATTTCCTCTTTTCTGTTTAATTAAAAAGGAAGGTTTTAACTTTAACATAGTAAGGAAGGCTGAGTCAGGAGATGCCAGCCCACAATCCAGGGAGCAGCATGTAATGGCATACAGGTAAAGCCACAAAACACGTAGAGACATAAGTCAGTAGTTAGCCTGACCTAACAACCAAACAGTTTTAATTAATATAAGCCTGTGTATGTTTACTTGGGTCTGAGTGGCTGCAGACCGGGTGGGACACAAGAAAACTTCCAGTTACAGGAGAACATATTCTAGATTGCAAAACAGTAGGGAATCAGAACTGAAATTCGTGTTTTAGTGTAGACTCTGGGCTTGCCCTTTACCTGAGTATCTCAGCAATAGCCTGCACTTTTCACTAAGCACGTACTGCTCAATAAATAAGTTCCACACCTATTACTTAGTGCTGGGACATACAGCATTTGCTTTTCAGTTCCTAATATCCTTTACCTTAAGGAACACTTGATGGGAAGAACATTGCCTGTCCTTACATTCATGTTCAGGGCTCACAGGAACCTCCAGCTTTCCTGTGGCAGAGACTCTTCCATGGAAGGAAAACTTTCTGCTCCAGACAGAAAGCATGAGACTCTGTGCCAGTAAAATGAAGTTCCGAATGTAAAATTTAATCTCTTTAGAGGAGGAAGTAGAATTTGCTAGGTTGTAAAGTCTGGCCTTAGGAATGTGCAGGTCATCTTGAGGGCAGGTAAAAGATGAAAAGATTATGGACAGGCACATATATGTAGCCTTCTGTAATCATTTAATGAGTGTGGTTTTAGAGAGTTTGTTTTCTAGTGGATTAATGGGAGATAGATTGGGACTGCTGCATTTATTGAAGTGCTTCAAAAGGAGAAGTCAGAGACGCTGCATACAAGATCATAATGTCTTCATGGAAGAGACCTCCTAACAGGGTGGGCATAATAGGGATTCCACGGTACCATTAAATTTTGGACAGATAAGCATGGCATTGGCATTTAGGAAATTTAAGAAGGGCAGTGATGGAGGAAGAAGCCTTTGAGGCCTGTTTTTTACAGGTTAATTAGGAGAGCATCTGAAGCAGTCTGACATGCCTACTGGGCAGAGCAGGGTACTTGCAGGCTTTGATGCAAAACATCTAAGCCGAAGTGAGAAATGCAATCATTATCTTTGTAGTGGATGCAGGTATTGAAGCCAAGTCAGTTGAGCAGATAAGACAGCAAATTCCTAGAGCATAAAAAATCAGCAAATAGATGGCCAGTGAAGTAGTTAAGCAACAGAAAACTGTTGTAGGAATTGGGAACTAGGCATTTAATCACACTAACTTCAGGAGATGGGGAGGGGGGCAAAGGAATAAAGAATAGGATTCAGAAGGAATTAAGAGTGACTGTTGACACCCCCTCCCCCCAAAAAAAAGGTTGAGCAGAAGCCAAGTGGAAATGGAGACTGGGAAAGTATTTTGATGTAAAGCCTATAACTCCCATTCTAAAGGGAATGACAGATTGTTCTGGAGCTATCATGCTTGGTCATGACTCAGAACATATGTTTACTATAAACAAAATTCAATATTACGACATGGAATCAGTTTCATGAAATTTTATAGTTTTACAAGACAAAGTCATAGGCAAGTTTAAAATACATTAGTGGGTACATAAGAGAGGTATATAGCTAGATGGGGAAGCTTTGCTATAGGCCCACGATGCTATCTGATGACATACTTAGCTTTTTGGTTGGTGGGAGCTAGTGGTCTGATAAGTTCATAGATTCCCCAACGGTCATAAGATGTTACTTCCACCACAGACATGGGCAAGGCATGCCTGTTCTGAAAGGCTTGAACTAGTGATTGGCCTTTATGCCTGCAGCATTCCAATCTCTCTACAGTAATAACTCAAATTCTAACCAGTCAATAAGTCTCTAGAGACCTAGCTTCTTTTAAGGAGTTTTCATTTACAGCCGACTCAAAATGAGATTTTAATTTAGCTTTTGTTTGGGGGAAGCACCTTGATGGTAGAGAAATTAGGCCTAAATGGAGCCACAGGTCTCTGCCATATGGCCTGTGTGAGAACTAGCTATTGAACTATAAAAATCTATGAGTAAATTCCTTCTATACTATGGCAGATCCCAGCCTGTCCCCTACCTCAGCTAAAAGAACCAGATCGGTCTAGTGTTTCTGTACTCAATAATATACCCTTCTGCATTTAGTCCACAGCTTCTGACATGCGATTTGAAGACACATTTTATGGGACAGATGTAATCCAAGGAGAGAGAAAGAGGCAAAGAGTACTGAGCTCCAGGCTTAAGAACGAGTATGTGGATGATCCTGTGTACCGCACTTTCCTGAAGAGTTCTTTCCAGAAGAAGTGTCAGAAGAGACAATAGTTGATAACCTGCTGCAGCCATAGAGCAGCTCAGACCCGAAGAGGGAAGACAAAGGGACAGTCTTGGGGTATGCACTGGGACAGGTGACTGGGTGCTTCTCTGGCATTGGTAATAGATAAGGCTTCCACAGTTTGCCTACCAAACAACCAGGGAAGACGTTGATTCTGCAATCTAATCACTCCCTCAGTCATTTATTTGACCCCAAAGAATATTCCGAAGTGATAGGAAATAACAGTGAATGGCCCACTAGATAGAACTCGTGCCAGAGGAGAGGGGGTTACCTCTCTGTGGCTCGGGTCCCTCCTCAGGGAACATATATGGAAGCTCCTCTCGCCCAGCTCCTTTTAGTGAAAGCCTCATCACCCAAGAGGGAGGGTGATAATTTATGTATTTTCCACAGTCAGGGAAAGACTCTCACTCACATTTGTTTTAAGTGGCAGTTTTTATAAAACATTTTTAAAACACAAATGGCATGAATGGTAATGGGATTTACCTATGTGCTATCTGTATTCCCTTGTACAGAACTTTTCCATTTTTTTTATATTATTACTTTTGATTGTGTCTGAAAACTGAGTTGGCCTTTGTAAAGAGGAAAATTTTTGCTCTTGAAGAGGAATTCATATGAAGTCTATGGGAATTTTATATATTTACAGAGGAAAAATCTGGGTATGATATTTTGAACAATTCACAATTCCTGTTCTGAATAGATATTTATAAAATATATATTTCTTTCATTATGTGTTTGTAAAAATTAGAATTTAAATAAATATACTTAATGCATAGTTTTGAACTAATGTAATATGATTTTTCTTTGCAAAACAACCTGGAAATGTACTAGTATTTAAAAATTAAAAACTGTTTTCTCCTGTCCTGTCTTCTGTCTTGGCTTATTTGTCCATGTTTAAGGCAGTAAATAACTGAGCTTTAGAGCAGGTGTGGTGCTACAGACACCTAAGCTCTGCACTTGAGGGACTGCTGTCTGTCAGTTTCCTCTAAACTGAAACACCCCCTCCAAGAGGGAGGGACTGCTCTTGAAACTCCAAAGGTAAACAGAAAGTTACATGTCTCTAAAAGCGCAAACTGGGAATATTCTCAAAGGCCCCTTATCAGCTTCATCAGTAAAGAGCTCCTTGGCAAGGGGACTTCGACCAACCAAGAGCATCTCAGGATTGTCTTCCTGTAAACTGTGCAGAGAGCTCCAGGATTGCAGTTTTTTGTTCATACAGCTGCTTTTGAGACATCCGTCTTGATAAGTAACTCCTCACTTATACTCCTTTTAAAACTCATTGTTTTGCCAAGATGTATGTATACATTGGTCTGTTGTGAGTTCCCTTTCTGGGATAAATAGGTGTATATAGTATCTGTATGTATGTATGTATGTATATGGTGTGTATGTGTACATGATGGGTGTATGGGTGTGTGTGTGTGTGTGTGTGTGTGTGTGTGTGTGTGTGTGTGTGTGTGTGTGCGCGCGTGCCTGTAGAATCTTCCCAGGAAAAGTCTATCACACAATAGGCTGAGGCAGGATGATTTTGAGTTCAAGTCCAATCTATGCTATGGGAAAAACTCCATCTCAAAAAATCAAAACCAGAGAAAAACAGATGCTATTGATGAACTCTCAAGATCTTTTGTAGGCCAGGCTTTCCAGACCCTCCTTTCATAGCTGAGCACCTTCATGGGATTATCACAAGAGAAAATACCATCAGCATGTTCCCAGCACCAGCTGAGTTATGATCCTGTCTTCTAGACTTTTAATGATCTGAGTCTCTTCAGTATGGAGCATTTTTTTTTTTTTTTACTCTTAGTTTCCTGGCCCCTAGTTACCACCAGAAGGAACTTTGAGAGATTCAAGTTACCCCCCTCATTTGTTCACAAATAAATGAAAGACTGGCAAGGAAAGATTGCCCCAAAAGCACACATAACAGTTTGCCCGCTGCAAAGGCAACATTTAATTTGCTTTATAGGTCTTGAAGTTGTGCTGGACTTGGCTTGAGCTAACTTACAGCTCCTTCCTGTGCCTCCCAATAAGGTAGGCCAGGTATAGTCTCAGTAACAATAGAGACAGGAGGGCAGGTAGGCCCAAATGAAGTTCATTTCAGTCCTAAGTGAGGAATCTGGATGCATAAAATCCCAGAATCATGGATTGATGGGAAACTGAACCATTTCAGGACAAAGGGTACAGTGTCTCCTGTTACTGGGGAGAGAGTGAAGTACCAAACCAGCAATGACAGCCACAACTAAAACAGTGTTCATTTTCTGGAGTGACTCATGGGATGATCTCAAAGTGGAGAAAACCCACCAAACTAATTTCACAAGGATTGCCACTCCACTTTCTCTGCTGGTATAATGTTATTTATTTTATCTTACCGGGTTATCAAGCTTGAGTTTTCTGTTTTTAGGTTTTAAATCAAACTGACCTACTCCTTTCCCAACAGGCCAGGAAAGTAGGCCTGTGTAAGACATTAAGAGGAATTAATCAAAATAGGATCATTTTGTTCTGGAACAAACAGTTTGCCTGTCAGCAAGATTTCTGATTGGCTGCCACAAGGAGAAAATGTGCAGTCCTTTGTGATCTCAGACATAGCTGTTCTTTACGGTCTCATTTAAGTAATGTTCATTCCTATAGCTAAGAACAGCTGTATATTGCCTTTGCAAAGTCCTGGCCACAGATAGACTTGCCATGGAAATTAGCACGTTTGTTTACTGTGTTCGTCATAAAGTAGCTATTGGCTCTGTCACTAGACAGAACATTCAAGCTTTTCACATATTGTAGGACACCTTTTAATTTCAGTGCAATACACTAAACTGCACGTTCAGTGTGTACATGTAGCACAAAATCAGTTAAAGTCCTAGCAATTTATAAATTGCTTAGCTGTGACAATTCTACTGTAACACTAATTGCAAGCCCTTTCTCTGGTGGTTAAGATCTTGGTAAAGCTGGTTGGCATATTTCACAATATTTAATTTTTTTGTGTGTGCTCAAAATGAGGGCCATGTGATCACTGTCAGTTGAATTTTTCTTTTTAATTCAACTAGAGAGAAACTGAGACAAAACATCTGTTGAAATACCACATGACTTCTCAGAATATGTTATGAATTCCCACTAGTTATAGACACAGAGTACACAAATATGTAGGAGGAAATGGGTGGGAAGCAAGTGCTGCTGTGCTGTGGGATGTTCTGTATGTCCTGTGGGAGCCCTTCTTGGGTTCTTTGTGGCCTTACCCAGCAGGTCCACATAGAGGATGATTAGGACCATGGGCCTGAGTGCAGGTGTCTGAGATGGTCTGCACTTGGCTGTGCTGGGGGATGGTCTGTATGTCAAGTTGTTCTGATTGATCAATAAATAAA